AGCTTTATGCACATGTACTTAATTTCAATTATTGGTATTGCATAAAGTATTTTAGACTTGGATATATTGAATTTCATGTGCTACTAACATGTTTGTTACTCTTTGTTGAAATTAAATTTTGTTTAAGTGTCAAGCTTTTAAAGTCAAATTTTGTTTGGAATGCAATTTTTGAGGGGGAGCTTTGATTTTTCAAATGTTTTTTATGTCAAATTCACCACTTACTCTCAAATGTTATTTTTTAACTTTAAAGTTGAATTCTTTTTGATCAAACAAAAAGGGGGAGAAGTATGGTTTGAAAATTCAATTTCTTAATGAAAAAGGGGGAGCTGAACATTTTCACATATCTTCCAAAAATTGGTATTTTTTCATTAAATATTTTACTAAGGGGGAGTTTTGCCAAAAACAATTTTTCAAATGTTTTGTTATATCAAAAAAGGGGAAGATTGTTGAACTATATTTTGATATAACAATTAACGAAAAATATTTTTGGACTTGAACTGAATTTATTCAAAGTTTTCAAAAATAATTCAAAGTCCATTTAAAGCTTGGAATTGAGCACAAAATGTTTTTCTGGACAAGTAGTACAAATAATGTTCTTACAGTATCGATACCTAATGAACAATACCGATATTGTTCATATGGTATTGATACCAAAGGTAAGGGAAGTATCGATACTTACTAGGTGGTACTGATACTACCAGTATTGCTCAAATTCCATAATGCAAAAATGGTATCGATACCCAAAGGATTACCTATACTACTCTGTATAGTAGTATCGATACCATTAGGCCCCAACGGCTAGTAACAGCTAGTTTATTTAAATATAACAAAGGTAGTATCGATACTCCCATTAGGAGTACCGATACCCTCTATTTTGGGCAGCTTTATTTTTCACAAAAATTGATCCCCAACGGCTAGAAACGGCCACAACAAATTTCCAATATATAAATACAAGTTGAGGACACTTGAAGAAGGGTTAGAACACCTATCCAATCAATCAAACACAAGAGAATAGTTTTTCCATTCTTATTTTATCTCTTGTAAATATTTGTGTTTTAGTGAGCTAAATTTTGTAAACATCCTACCTTGTAGAGGTTTATTTGTTTACTTCTTTTTCCTTTTGTAAAAGGGGATTGGTTCTATCTTAGCCAAGTGAAAAGATAAGGAGTTGTAAAGGTTATCTCTTTTTCCATGAAAAGGAAAGAACAAATTAGTGAATTTGTTAGAAAATCCTAAGTGAAGAGCTTATGTAGTGTATGTAGACTATGTTGATAAGTCGAAATTATTTCCGTTTGTAGGTTAGTAGGTGCAGGATTCGTGAGCTTATCGCCAGACAATTGGATTCCAGACATCAGCAGTGGCAGAGTATGTCTTGATTTTTCTTAGTCGGCATGTATTTCTTAGACCTTTGTGTACATCGAGTCATATCCCCTGAGTTTTATTTGTGTCTAAGATTTATTTTTGGGAGCCCCCGATTTTGTATACTTAACTATTTTGTTCTTATTTTATCTTATGGGATGGTTTACGTTATGAAATTGAAATGTTTTTAATAAGAAAAAAGTTGGGTTAACCACTTCAGAGGTCCGTGCAATCTCCAAACCCACGGGCTTCAGTCAGTTCGAATTTGGGTGTTACATTTTGGGTGGTACATATGGTCATGGAGCTGCTCTACTAACACAAATAATTGGCCGAGCTTTTTGATTCTTCGCTGAAGACTTTGTAAAAGAAGATGTGATTTTGTCTTTGATGAAAACTTTTATGATCGTGGGATCTTATTGTATCCTGTCATCAAATGGTTTCGATGATTGTTGAAGCAAGGTGTCCAATGATCTTGCCAAGAAGTTCGAACCAGGTAAATTCCATAAGTATTCCTACTCAATCTTGGGTTGGGATTGATCAAGGCGAGTATGGATGGTGCGGTGAATCTCCAAGGAGGCGAGGCCATTGCGGGTGGAGTTCTCCGAGATGAACGTGGTGCTTGGATCTGTGGTTTTTCTCGTTGCTTGGGAAACTGTCCAGTTATAATCGCAGAGCTTTGGGCTGCCCATGGTGTCCTCTCCCGAGCTTGGTGTTTGGGATATCGACGTGTTAAGGTTGAAACAAATAATTATGAACTTTGGAAGATTTTATCTCGACAATCTCATGTTCTTGAGGGTAGTGCTTAGGTTGTTTCACTGCATGGTTTGATTTCACAGGAGTGGTTTATTCACCTTCGTCATGCCTGACAATAGTTGAATGTGGTTCCAAATAAGTTGGCTAAGCTTTCGAAAGGGCTTCCCATCGAAGAGACTAATCTTGTTGATCCTCATGGTGAGAATGCTGCACTTGTTGTGTTAGAGAACACAGCTTCTTAACTTTCTGCTTTCTGTATTATCTAAACAAAAATAATCTTATTGACAAAATTAATAGAACAATGGTCAAATTGGAACCATCTCATAATTAAGTGGTCATTCATGTGGTTTGCTCATAAAATTTAATCACCGATTAATCTTCATCAATTAAAATTATAACAAAAATCAACTTTATTAACCAATAGAATTTTAATCAATATGTAAAATAACATTTTCAATTTTCTTAATCGGGTGAGCTATTTGTTGCTTTAGATAATGGGCAATTGGGCATCTTGTTGCTAATTCCTTGGATTTTTTTTATCTTTTTGGATTTCCATGTATTTGTTTAACGTCTAAACCTATTAATTATAATACTTTGTTATCTATTTTTGTGTCTTTGAAACAAACATCAGTAAAAGGTTAATTGCAAAGAAAAGTTGGTTCACTTTGAGGAGGTACGATTTAGTTTAAGATATAGAAAATCTGGGTCTGGATAATCCATTTTCTGTTTAAAAAATAGGTATTATTTTAGTTCATGGTGGAAGCAAAGAGTTGCAGAGAAATAATTTTGGTGCTTTGCTCTCATGTTTGACTTTTAAGCTTATTGTTGTTTAATTTACTATGGTATTTCTTTTATCATGTTCTTAGCATATGTTGGTGGCACTGCATGTTTACTTTATCCTTTGCATGAGTCTTTTGCATTAATATCATAGCTTGGTGCTGCATGTTTACTTTATCACCTGTTGCTAACTTGCAAATTACTCAATCTAGATAATAATATGAACCAGCATCCTTTTGCTCTCGGTCCTTGGTTGAATCCATTTTGTTGATTCTTTCTCGGTAATTGGTCGGATATCGCCTAAATGTGATGTCCAGATGCTGCACGCCATGCACACACATGACACAACCAAAGGGGGCAGCTACAAGACTCACAGTTAAGAAGAGATTCATGCCAGTCAAAAAGGACCGACGGGAATTCAAAGTACAATCCACTGATGGTTTCCCCTCATGCACGATTACGTGATCTGCAAGGTAAGTATAAAATCATGCTGAACCACAACCGCAGGTTTCTTTGCAAGGAAAATGAGACTCTTTATGAATTATGACTTTAGCTGCAAGGATTCCCTGCTCGGAGTCGAGATAAGCACTCGGTTCATCTATCAGATATATATCTGCTGGCTGCATGAAACAGAGACAAAAATGGCATCAGACAGATCTAGAAACTGCATCCTTAACTATTTGGTAGTTTATAAAATTTACCTTTCCAAGGCATAGACATAATGCAACTCTCATTAACTCTCCTCCAGAAGGATTCAATACTTCCCGATCCATCCATTGTTCAATGAGAAGACGCTTCATCACATCTGAAATAAACTGGCAACGCATGCACGAATCAGGTATCTTTACATATAGCAAGTTCTTGACTGTTGATTCATATTTGGGACTGATCTTTTGGGGCTTGTAAGAAACATTAAACTCGGTTACCTCGACCTCAAAATCATCTACGTTATCGTGTTTGAATGAACCAGCCTTCAGGCTGCAGGTTTACCAAACAATGTCAATCGACCTATGCATAATGCATGAGACATGCAAATCTATAATGAATGAAAACACAGAAAATGGGGGAGCAAAGTACCAGCATACGAATAAATGTCGTCTTTCATGTCCATTTCTCACCAAGCATTACAATAATCTGAGAATCAGTAATTACTCCAAGTTGAAAATTGTTCCGAGTTTTTGTCATGGTTGGGCATCTGTATTGAGCATAAGCTTTGATTTTCTCGACACTTTCCCGCTCGGTCTCTGCAACCTAAAACAAAAGAGAAACATGGGTAAAATGACAATAACTTAAAAATGAATGAAGAGCTCACTACTTGTAATACACTAATACTTGAGGGTTTACCTTGAATGTCAAAGATTCATCTTGAAACCTTAGATTTTCTGTATGGACAAATCCAGCCAAGAATATATTGATTCCTTCTCTTACTGAAAAGGGAAGGGTTAAGACACCATATGGACCCGGTTTTCCGTACAAGCAACAAACGGAGTCAGATAAGTATTCAAGGACACTGAGTACATGCTCGACCGTAAACACATAGCTGAATGACATAGTGTAAACAAATTAGCACTACCTTAATTCGATCCATTTGAATGATTAGAGACTTAAGGAGAAATGAACATTTAACCGTCGAAGTGCCGTCCTTTAGTACATCGATTGCATCCAGAATGTGTAGCAAAGGCAAAGCAGAAATAAAATAGGATAAGCTACCTATTCAATTTTAGTCACCCAACTATTTCTTTTTATAATCATACCTAACGTTACATTTTGATTTTATTTAGTCACTTACTATTAAAAAATAATAGTGATGAGGATGTGTCATCATAAGAAAATGTCACATCATCAATGAAAAAAATGAAAAATATCATGTCAACAATTTTATTAGTTTTTTAATGTCAACAATTTTATTAGTTTTTTAATGTCAACAATTTTATTAATTTTTTAACGACGGGTGATAAAAAAATGCCACGCCTAATCCAACATCCAACCTCTTCAAACAATAATATAAGATTACAAATGATAAGCTTTTAAGCATGTACTATAACTATAGTTTCCGAGTAATACATACATAACAAACAAGCAGGAACAACCCCTTGTTTCTAACACATACGTATATACAGAAGAGAAATCTCATGTAGAGCCATTGAGCTTAGATAGCAAAAACAGGCAACCAGAGGAGAGTAGGACAGAAGCCGAGAAACAAAGCAAATCCTGTGTAGAGTTTATGGCAGTCTTCTTGCAATTGTTCAAAAATCCTATCAGAAGAAGCATCACTATTACATGACCCAGTTTGGTTTTCAGTTCACTCACTGATTTTATTTCCAACCATCTTGGTCGTCAACTCAGCCATATCAGAAATCAAATTATATTCACAAGCTCATACATGCAAGAAAAAATATCCTCAAGACTGCAACTAGAGAAGACCCCAAAAAGAGAACAACATAGCCAGAAAATTTGACTGACATTTAAAGCAAACATGCCAAAGAGATTTGATGTCGATGTGCCCTTTTCCTTCGATTGTGCTTTTGCAATATCAAGATTGGAAACAAAGAGCTCATAGAGACCCATTCCAAAAACCAGCATTACTGTTCCTAGCAGATATACATCTGGAAGAAGAATACAGTGGCAATTAGAGGCCTCATCTCAATAGGATCTAACCATAAACATGCATACTTATAAAGCCAAGCAAGGTTTATTATCGATGAAAGCCATCTATTCAGGCTCCAAAGCACAAAGGGTGTTTACTTTAGGGTGAAAATATTTGCTTAAGGTGCAGGCCGAGCATCTAGACTTTCATGCTTAATAGCCTTATAGTGTAATCATCTTTCTCAAATTGGCAGCTAACCAAGCAGGATTTCCTCTTGGATTAATACTTGTGATGTTTCCCCACCTTCACCAAACAGGATCGACAGAAAAGTAGAGTTTTTAAATGCAAACCAACGGACTACGCATGAGTTTTTCTAACTATCACTTTACTTCAATCTGAACGTTCTCATAATAACTATGAAAGTAAATAAGCAAAAACAGCAAGCCTATGTTAGATAGTGTGGGAGTTGAGAGAAAATAATGGCTGGGAGTGTGGGAAACAAATGATTTGCGAATTAATGACATAATGCTAAAGTCTTTTAATCATGAAAAAACGAAATAGACACACAAGAAAAGTATCAGCACTCAGCATGCCAATCTAGACTCCAAACCAATATTAGTCGATGGAATTATGCAAAGGAAAAGAAATTTTGAACGAAACTACATAAACTAGCAGCGTTAATTGATTACACAGATCATTTGATGTCAGCCAATGTCAGCTTTTACACCAGATCCATACAATGATTTTCCTTTTTATCAACGGTTTAATGGACATTGATGCTGATGCAACTGTCCTTATGTAAAACCTATATGAACTTTGTCTAGAGAACTTGCTTTCTGCCTGGAAATATAAGCATTCGTTGTATCTGTAGAACCAGTTTAGTAACAAGTGTTTAATTTCACTTGACAGTGTAGTATCTGGAGATTATAGCTATAGTATTTGAGACAGTATCAACTGAATTGTTGATAAGAAATAAAGGCAAGTTTCGTTGTTTCGTTGATTGGTACTCTATCATCCATAACCTTAAAGAGCAAAAATATTGGAATGAACAATCCCTCACCTATTGCCTCAACCAGCAACAAAATAACTTTGCTCCGATCCACAAAATATTCAACGAAAGATGACACGATAAAAGTACAGCCCAGCATATCATAAGTGCAATTAAGATAACAGACTAATGCAATATTACAAGTCACATCGTCCAACATGTGGATGTGGTGCATAGAACAAAACATGATAAATTGTGTTTTCTCCAGGCTATATTATCAGCTCTTTATATTATTAGCTTGGAATATACAATATAGAACAAAATAAACAATATTACATCCATGAAACCAAATCTTGAAGCCGATTAAGTGTAGAAGATAATCAAGTAAGCATTACAAGAGCGACTCAATAATCAGTAGCACCCCAAAAGAGGGGGAAAATACCTTAACGAAACAAAGAATTGATCCTGTTAAAGACCCGAAAACAGCCAGAAGAGTCATAAAACGAAATTGATAAATGACCTGTAAAATACACCCAAAAATGGAGATAAGTCTGAGACACAGTATCTTATTTGAAGAATCATATAGAGAACGTCACACCTTATCTAAGCGCTCTTCTGTAGCTTCCAAGTAGCTGGATGAGGTCTGGGTGTCCAAATGAGAATTGGCTGCTGAAAAGGCTACTGATGGGACTTGAGTACGACGACCCAAAGATGTTCTGGCGATCGGGAATTTGGCAGTGGCACAAGGAGGGTGAGGGAGAGAAACCCTTTTGAAATTTGGTCCCGAACGGTGAGAATTGTGGTAGAATTGCATCGATGGCGCGGTGGTTCTGAGGGGATTGGGGGTAAAATGTAGAGGAGATTGTGGTTTCGTCTTCATGATTTGGCTGCTGGCATAAAGAACAAGAGGGAATGGAATAAATGTCAAATATACAGAAAAATAGAAAATGGAGGAGCAGTGAATAAAACAAGTGAAGGTGGTGATTTGGCTTGACAATTTGCATCCAACTTTGAAACAAAAATGGAAGTATGGGAGCCACTCATAATCAGCCATGTACAGATGCAATTGTTCACTTGAGTTCCCAGCAATGTACAGATGCAATTGTTCACTTGAGTTCCGTCGAGATTCTCGAGTGGTGACCGGTGATTGCAAGACGATAATAAATATATTAAATTAAAATATATATAAATAATCTTGAAATATTCTAAAATAATATTTTTATTTAATTTTTAAAATTATAAAATAACGATTAAGTTTTTATTATAAAATAAACTTCTAGTTGTTAATTTTTAAAAATATTAAAAAATATCTGTGATCTATTAAATTGATAAATATTAATTAAAATATATATTTTTTAAATCTATCAAATAATATTAGAGATTAAAAAAATATTATTATTTTTAAAGATTTCAAATTTAAATAATGAGTTTATAAAGTATGTATGCGTTCATTCTGATTGAAAAATATTAAATCAATATTATATTATTCCAAATTAATAAAAATATTTGCAACTTTCTCCAGCAGAGATATAAGCTTGAACTCCTTTTGGTGTATACTTCGATTTCTTTGAACTCATTTTGCGAGTGTTAAGACAGGTTCAAGATAAGGTGTTCGTGCCTCCCCCCCCCCCCCCTCTCTCTCTCTCTCTCTCTCTCTCTCCCTCCCTCTCCCTCGCCCTCCCCCTCCCCCTCCCTCCCTCCCTCCCTCCCTCCCTCCCTCTCTCGTGAAACTTATTTCAATTGACAACAAAATCTAACCGTCGAGACATACAAAACCCCGTTTTTTACTCTGTAAAATTGGTCCACTATCGTAGGCAAGCTAATTATTTAGTCTAATACAGGACTAGAATTTTATTTTAGAAACTACTACATTTATTATAGTGACTTGAAACTCATCATATGGGCCTGACAAATTCTAATAAAATATATTTTTATTGAAATTTATCACTCCGACATCACAAAATCTAATAAAAATTAAATTTTATTGGAACTCATCACTTCAACGTGATGAGTTTAAATAAAAACAATATTGTAACCTCCTCAGACTAATATGGGTGACCCAACAATTTCAAAGCGCCACATTAGAACCATCGAAGTGACACACTTTGAAAATTTCAAGAAAAACAAAAAACTTTAACCAATAAAAATTTAAAATCATAAAACAATCTTAACATGTAAATAAATTTAGACATTAAAATAGAATTTAGTAATACACACTATAAAATTAAGTTTCACACTCTAGTATATATAAAAAACTGTAACATACATGTCTCCTAATTACATGTGTCGTACTCCACAAGCAACGTCGGAGGAATCCCAACTGATGTCGATAAGAGAACATAATCATTGCCTTAAACCTGAAACGGTAAGTGATAGAGTTAGCTTTAGGAAAGTTCAGTAATACAGAACTACCAAAAGATGCTAAAGGACAAACAGATATATGGTAATACATGAAATTTCCTTAGTGATATAGGCATATACAGACTCCAGAAAAGTCTTGAAATCATATTAATAAATCCTTAGAGTAACAGTCGGGAAGTATCTAGGTTGAAAGAGTCAGACAGAAATAGATCCCATACGTTAAAGAGTTTAGTGTGTCTCATTAGTGTAGAGAGATACATATATATATTTCCATATTGAAATAATTTATTTAAGTAAACATACATTTAAAAAGACGATAAATTTTTAGTTTTTAAAAAAATAAAATTGGCTGCCCTCCATCTAAACGCCAGAATGTGTTGGTTCCCTTGAACCATACATCTGCCTGTACACCTGGTAAGAACCTTATACTTATCGCATAAGGGTCTGCAGTAAGAATTTACCTTGTGCACAAAGTATAGGAGCCTGCAGTAAGGACTTATCATTTGCACAAAGTAAAGGAGCATACGATAAGGACTTACCCTGTGCACAATGCAGAGGAGCCTGCAATAAGGTCTTACAAGCCATAGACCATGCCTAAGTCACTTACTCCAATAGTAACCAACCCCAGAACAGTAAAACGGTAATATCAAAAAATCATGATCTAGATATATTTTCTATCAGTTAACATAAATCAGAGATTATGTTTTTTATTCAGATAACAGAATCATCATTTAAAATAAGAGAAAACATATTCATTTAAATCAAAGAAAATATTCAGATGGATATGGAACACACTAGAGGGCCCAATTCATTTTTCAAAAGTTCTTAATGATTTTAAGAAAAGGGGAATAGATTTCAGACTAATTTCATGATTGAGATCCTTCTTTAAAAAGGGTTCGATAACTAATAAACCAGATTAGAAATTTTATATCAGATACATTAAGACCATTTAGGATTTAGATAACTCGTAAGGTTACTAAAGAACTGCAACCCCAGAGTTATTCTAGATTCTGGTATTTAAGTTAGTATGGCATTTTAGTCACTTTGGTTTTCGGAATAAATCTTGGTGAGACGACTTGTTCAGTTTCCATGACAAATCAAACTAACAAATCCCATCACTGTAGTACTTATCATGAATTATGATAGGAAAACTTTACGGATGTTGATTATTTGATATTGTCTGCATTATCAAATTGAACAATTTTACCTTCACACTTCTTCCCTAAACAAATCCCAATGAGATGTAAACATTATTCATACGATATCTATCCTTATGATTCTTGTGACAAAGTATTAAGAGAAGCCGACATATTCAGGTTGTACTCCATAATCCTTATGGTCGTTAACGTGTTTAAGCTTTACGAGTATTTTCAGAACTTATATAAAGTACACTTAATCCAATTTATGAGGATATTTTGGTCATTCTAGAACTCGAGGGTATTTCAGACATCTTAAAACTCATGGATATTTCGATTATTTTAAAGCTCAGGAGTATTTTGATCATTTTAATGTTCGGGGGTATTTTCAGTCATTTTAAATAAACTTAGCCATATAGAGTACTTTCGGTAATATAGTCTTCAGGTGTTGCTCAGAAATCAGAAAGTTTAGATCATGAGCCTTCTTAGAGGTTAGAGACTGATTTTCGAAACTTTTCCAAATAGGTCAGGAACTTAAGAGATAAATTGGTAGTCATATCATGCCAAATTATAATTTTTGGGTTAATTCCACTATTAAATGCAATTCGCGTCCTTTTTAAACCTTAAGGGTATTTTCTTCATTTCTTATTTGAATATTAACGGTATAAAATCTCATAACATAAAAAATCAGGAGGTTAATTTTAATCAGTTTAAAAATCCATACCAATCCCCTAGTTCCTTATATAGGTCATTCGAACCTTAATCAGCTACTAATGTTATACCTAAATCAGAATACGATTAGAATAATCAACCAATAACACATATCCAACTCATATCCATACATGCACTGACCAATTATCTACATGTACCGTGAAGCATGCATAGGATAGTAAAATATTACCTCAATTTTTTAGCCATATCAATCAACCAATTAAACACTATTCGATCACCCTTTAAAATGAATTTGATTCCCCATTAAGTCTCAAATACATAGCAAAACAAATTACGTCAGAAAATATAACTTAATCGAAAAAAATAATCGAATCAGAAAATAAAACGCTGAAAAATAACTTATCGAGTTTGAATTTGGTGAAACAGACTTGGGATTGGGACTTGGGATATTAAAAGACATAAAATAGGACTTTTCATTAAAAAAATTTAACTTTTTGATCAAAGTCAACCCTGGTCGAAGTCAACTGGGGTTAGAGTTCACTCTAGTCAAAGTTAACGGTCTAGGTCAAAGTCAATGGTCAGATCAGTTTGAGTTGATTTAGATCGGTTTGAGTTGACTCACTTGATTTAACTCACCTTAATTGACTCAATTGACTCAGTTTTTATAAAACTCGACTGGAAGAAAGCCCCACGAGCGGTGGTGGTGCTTGGTAGCGCTTGTGTTTCTAACAAGTTCTGTGGATGTCTACTGATTACTCTTGAAGTTATAACTCACCAAAATCAATCCATAAACACTCAAATTTCAATCCCAAAACACAGTGAAATAACTGGAAAAATAATTGAAGGCTTATCACAACGACGTTAGGCGAAGGCCGCGACGGTGAAGTAGCCCCTCGATTGGGTTCTGATTGGAACTACATAGGGAGCACAATGGTGACAGTCTTTTGGCTCATGACAGTTGAAATCATGAAAATAATT